AAAAAAAAAAAAAAAAAAAAAAAAACCCGCTAAATTTAACCAAATCTTGCCGAATACCTGCTCCATAACCAAATCCTGCTCAATGATCCTGAGAACCATAGCCAATCCTGAGAACCATAGCCAAATGCAACTCGATAACCAAATATGGCAAATAACCACCAATTTCTAAAAGGATGTAGGCCATGTAGAAACACTGGAATCACGACCTGCGCGCGCATGAACCTAGCAAGCAATTTTCAATGGATACTTGTTACTTTCACATTCTTGGATTCAATGGAACCAGTGTTAGCAGCCACAAGCATACATGTGCCCCGTACGTGTGTCGCCCGAAGCCCTGTACAAGCATACCATACATCTTTTCTAAGCTGGCCAAACTTTTTTCCCATTGTTCTAAGTGCACTACTGGGCCTGGGTACCAAGAGTGCCCATAGTAGGCAAACATTTTCAATCTGAACAGGGGTGGTGGTGTGCCTATTTGATGGAAGGAGAGGGAGATGGAATGGAGAAGTTGGGCAATGTAGCCATTTGGAGTTGAACTGAAAGGACAGGGAATCAAATGGGGGGCAGGTGGATGATGAAGAGGAGGAGGGGGGCAGGAGGAGAAGGGGGAGCTGGAGTAAAGAAAAACATTACACAGAACAGGTGCTGACATCGCAAGCAGTATAAGTACAGGATAACAATGTGAAGTGGATAGGACCAGCATACAACAAGCGGGAGGAGGGAGAGGTCGCCTCTCTCTCTCTCTCTCTCTCTCTCTCTCTCTCTCTCTCTCTCTCTCTCTCTCTCTCTCTCTCTCTCTCTCTCTCTCTCTCTCTCTAAACCAGGTAAAGAAAACATGACTTCTTTAGGAGAAGAAGAAAAGAGGGGACAAGTTGTACATACGTGTGAAACATCAAAAGACAAGCGAGGAAGATGAGGCAGCAGGCCAGCAGAGTGCAAGAAAAAACTACCAGTCCATCCAGCGCCAGAAGTTCCCTGCACAGCAACACAGTGACAACAAACGAACGTGTATCTCCCAACCTTAAGCATAATAAAGAGTTGAACATTGCTGACGAACACGGGAACGACGACTCAGTCTCAGATATCAAGATGTCAGGATGCAATTAATTGCAGATCCATAATAATTGCAATTTGCAAACACTTAGGAAAGTCATATAACACTAAGGGCCTCGCCCCACTACTCGCCACATGCACAAAAGACAGAAAAGATGGCGATGTATCTTCCCATGGTGAACGACACCAGGACCCAAACCAGAGCATCCTGGTCGTTTAAAACTTAGCCAGATATACAACCTACCATCTTCACCCGAATAGAACGCCCGGTCATTATAGCTGCATTTGGCCCAACTTTCAGTCCAGATACGGCGATAACGACCGGGCATTCTATTCGGGTGAAGACGGTGGCATGCAGGCCAGATAAGTTAGGAATGAACAGTAAGGCAATTTCCAGCTGTGAAGAAATTTTGATGGATATACAAGGAAATCGGGGAGGGGAAAAAACTTCAAAAAAGAGAACTGCTGAATATAAATCTGAAGATTGGTAGCTGAGTTGGAGTAAGAGAAAACGAAAACTGAAAATTTAGAGAAAGAGACTTTAAGAAAGTAAGAAAATTCTTTCTTTGTCCGAACAGGTCCAGATATCCAGATGGCTTCTGGAGCTGGAGAGGATAATGCCCAGATGGTCAGCCCATCCAGGTCTGCTGGAACCAAGGTTTACATGAACATGTGTGGTTTTTGCTAGAATCCATGCATCTGGAAATCTAGTGTGTTCTTAATATCACAGGTAAGCTTCATGTTATTCAAGATAGCCTCCGCTCATTTCACAATTATTTTTTGGTATCACAGACAGAGAGGATTCATGTTGTTCAAGATACCCTTCACTCATTCACACTGCAAGGATGACTGCTGCACCCTAGGGTAGGGTCAGGACCCACTGGTACTCTGTTCCTGCCTGGGAAACATGATCTGGTCATAATTTCTAAGCATGAACATAGCCCTAGAGCGGATTCACCCTTATCTTAGGTCATAATCAAGTTCACATTCGTAACACACACACACACACACACACACACACACACGCACACGCACACGCACACACGTATAAACCGAGGATCTGAAGTGAAATGAACAGGAGTATACCTTCCCCTTTACCCTGCCTCCTTTCATAACGTGCAAGAGGGCCATTAAGGCACACGGGGATGCGGGCAGCTGCCGCTCAACCACAATCAACGTGGGCAGCCTTGTACGTGCGAGGCACAGTTAAAAACCGCTCAACCACAATCAACGTGGGCAGCCTTGTACGTGCAAGGCACAGTTAAAAAGGGGAGGTGTAAGAACAAATGGAAGGGGTACGCCAAGGATAACCAAAAAACTGTCTAGTCGTAAAAATGCTTAAATGTTGGACTGTCTCGACTCAAGTGCTCTCATGGTCTGCACACACACACACACACACACACACACACACACACACACACACACACACACATGTACACTCACAGATAGAACCGGATGGATTCCAGTCAAAGCTAGGTTGTCCTCTGCCCTTTCACTGCTGATTTGTTTACTTCCAGTCCAGGACCCTACAGAGAAAATGGAGAAGGGAGAACGGGCAGGTGTCTCATGGCTGTTCGATCGTCCGAGGAGTTCCGATCACCTGCTTCTTTTGTATGTGCTTCACCCCGCTCCACAACGTTCAGGCCAAGAACTGACGTAAACTAGGAGATTGCTCTGGATCCCAACATGCAGAAGGCAATCCATATAGTCTGATGTCTGCTGACCAGATGTGACATGTCCAGAGGCCCATTCACATTTAACGCATAGCACCCCGCCTCCAACAAGAAAAAAAAAAACAACTAGTTCGAAAGAGGAAGGCAAGTTCTGGGAAATTATTCTAAATTGAAACAGTGACTACTTTTGGGTCAGGGCCAGCCCAAAAAAACCCTAGACCCTAAAGGCTCCGACGCGCTGGATGGCCAGCATCCTGTTGTCTAGGTCCGCAATAGACACGATCGGCATCATCAAACTGCATATTCAGTGCCATGCACTTCTCCGCACCCACGTCATGGTCCCCTGCCGTTCCTACTTAAACGTTGCACAGTGCAACCAATGTAGAACATCAACCAACGTGTCGAAGTTGCATTGCATCCCCCCACTGATTTTTCCGTTAACGAGATGGACATGACTCCAGCCACCATTATGATAAGAGAGTCGTATAATGATACGAAAACTTTGTCACATTCCTTCAACGCGGACACAATAACGATCATATCAACGTCCTCATGTACGCACGGGTTCATCAAATTCTACTTTGTAATAAACATCGTAGGGTGCTTCTTTTTGCAAATCCCAGGAAACCCTTGAACCTCTTTTAACATGACAACAAATGTAATAAATCCCCAATCCAGAGCCTGTTGTCAACAAATTATAAATTATAAAATTATAAAGTTCATAAGACCGTTGACTTTTCAAGTCAATTCTCCCATTCATTTACAGGCCTTGCTAGACGCATGTTTTCGTGAAACTTTATGGTGATGAATTGGATTCCGCGTTTCAAAACTGTGAAAACAAATTCAAAACAACTATCAAGACTCAAGAGTCAAGACAGTCCAGGCATAGAATCCCGAACAAGGCAACAGTACTGGAAGCTCAAGGGTTTTTAGACGGGGACATGAGAAGCGGGATAAGTGGCAGCAGCGCACTTACAGCAATCCAACTTGTAGTTCTATTCTAAAAGCAGTGGCCACTATGTACAGAGTCACAGCAGTGAGGAGAGTCTCAAAAAATATAAACCACCTGTACAGCACATACCAAAAAAAAAAAAAAAAAAAAAAACATCACCGTCAACAGCGCAGCAGAAGTTAGTCGAAACATCAAAGGGCATTCGGAAAAATCTACCATTTGCCAAATGTAAAACAGAGCACAGTAGAGTAGAAGAAAACTGCTTTTGCCTTGCAATAACATTAGATAGGATGGACTTGGTGTATCATGATGTGGGTCATCAACCATTTACTGTGACCATGATGTCGGTTGGTCCGCACTGTTAGTAATCGTTTTCCTCGCAACTTTCCATCCAAAATGGATTAACAAATATAAAATATAAAAAAAGGAAATATGTATATATACCAAAGTACAGTAAATAGCATGACAACAATGACAGTGGCTTCCCCTTCCCGTCGGTCGGTGTGCATTGTTATTAATCTTTTTCCTCACAACTTTCCATAGGTATAGTAAATAGCATAACAACAATGGCGTACAATGGGCCTAGCTCAGTTGGTACACCCATGAACTGTTGAAATACAGACCCAGGATCGAATCCAGATGCCATCAAATTAACAAAATATCGTACTTCTGAATTAGACTCAAAATTGCAAACTAGCAAAATCAGCGGCCAGATTGCATCCTTGTAAAAGGAGGACTCGATCTGGCTGCTCATTTTGTTATTTCGTGATTTTGAGGGCCTAGTGTGAGTATACTCTTACCTAGGGCCGGTCAGTCCATCTCAAGGCCGTTGCCCTTTTCACAAAAAAAAAAAAAAAAAGCATGACAACAATGACAGTGTCTTCCCCTGCCCATCTTGCCACGAACCACGTGACCTTCTGGCACCTCCTGCTTCGTCCCTTCCTTAAGTTCCTCTACACCTACTCGCTACATAATACATACAACATTAACCATGAGTTGAATTACAATTGCACAGTCCGGTTGTGGTTTTGTCCATAGACAGAATCCCCTTCCTCCCAACTCCACCCAGGTGGAAGCACACAAATCTCAGACACTAACAGATGGCGGAAGTACTTGCCAACTTTTTTTTGGGGGGGCGGGCGCAGAAAACATCCGGGGAAGACCTGCAGTTCTGAGGTGATTCCTGCACAAACGGGGTCGAGGTCTTCTAGACGATGGCTAATTTCGATTGGTGGGGAGCAGCATGGAGTTACCTTATATAAGACATTACATCCAAGTTACTGGGAGCATTACCCAGCTTCGCTTTTAAAGTAAACTCTGCCCTCTGGCCTCTCCAGCCTAAAGCTGTATGAATTACTAGAACCCCTAGCGAGCATACTCTTTTTCACAACCCTCCTCTAGGAAGTCCCCTTCCCTGCTGTACCCCTAGAGAACCTCCCCCACTACTTTCTGATCCCCTGTTGCATCCCCCCTCCTCCCTCCTCCTGTGGTAATCCTCTGACACAATTGCCCCTTAAACCGTAAACCCCCATCTTTGTTTCTGGACTGATCTTCCCTTCCATGGTCTTGCCTGAGCCGAGCCTGCTTTCGCCCTGCTCTGCTCATCCGAGTTCCAAATCCGCTTGGCTCCCTATGCTTGGTTGATCGAGTCTTCTCCCGGTGCCCACCATGTGCATTTCAATACGTTGTCCTGTAGCTCCGGGGCTTTGCCTTGGCCTGTTACATTATTATTGTAGGCCTCCCTTATCTTCTGGGCCTTGTCCAGATAGGTTTCCATTTTTTTACGTGTTGCCCACAATTGTGCCATCATCTCAGTTTTTTATAGCACTCAAAGTTCTACCCTTGCCTCATTCCTATGCCTCGGGTGTCGAATGTGGCCTAGCATCTGCACTTCCAGATAATCTACAACCTATATTGGCGAAGCTTCTGATAGCAGTTAAATTCGAACTTCATCCATGTGCGAGGCGTCCCAGTACCACGGGGATCTCGTTGGTCGGAAATGGCTTCTTGCTCACTCTTTGCCTCAATGACTGACTCCTTGCCATACCTGGCCTACTGTTTCTCCCTGACGCCATCTTCGCAGACGAGACAGTCCACTTTCCTGGCTCCTATCCTCGTGCCTCCTCCTTTTGTTGAGCCAGACGTTCACTAGATCGATGCATAGCCACTGCGTGCTCCTGATTTTGCCCAGTCCTATCGCCCCCAGCCTTGTCCATGGAAATACTAGTACCCGCACTGGAGTGGTGCTAATCTGCTTCTGCCATCTTTGCTGCAACTGGTCGTCCGGTGCTTGGGAGCGCTTTCTTAGTTTGTACTAACTTTGTAGCCTATACGCGTTCTCAATGCTATCCTTCGTGACGTGCCCTTCAGTTTCCATTCCCATTCCACTGGGTGCGATTCCAGATTATTTATGGTGACTGTTAGGCAACAAACGACAAACTCATCGGTTTCAACCACTCTGACTTTCCTAACCCTCGCCGTTTGCATTGAGACCGGCGTCCTGGAGTACTTGAGCAGTAGGCTTGTTGTTGCCCCTGGTTCTTCGACGTCGTACATGTCCATGCTAAGCCAGCTCTTCCCTGGTCCCGCTAGTCCCTATACTTGAAATGCTGCCCTTGGTGGTGTCTCTTCTGCCCATGTTGCCCAATTTCCCCTTGCCCAACCTGGGTCCTGCTGCAGTAGAGTGACCCATTCCTCTGGAACTGAGATCAGAACGTCATTAAGGTTTTCCAGCAGCTTGCCGCTGCCCTTCAACTCATTTCTTAATTCCCTTGCTGTTTTCCACCGCCTTTCTGTCTCATTCCATAAGTGTTTCACTTGCCAGACTCCGTGCTCCACCCAATTTCCCCAACGAGAGTCTGTTCCTGTTAGTGTTCTTGGCTTCCTCCCCCGTTCGTATGTCAGCCATTGGTTGCAAAATAAAGGCCGTCTCAACACCTCTTCCTTTGTCCGAGGCTTATGAAGTTATATATAAACCGTTGCTGGAAAGATATCCTCCAACAATTTTAGCAATTGTCGCCAGTAGTCTTGCTGCTCTGTCATATCTTCCACGGCGCCAGAGGCCCGGGCGTGACTGCTGTTCTTGGCCCAGGATATAATCATTGCCCAAAACAATCCTGACATGTTATGTGGTGTTTAGCATATTGCTATGCTCTTAATTCTTCGTAAGGCCAGCGGAACTCATGGCAGTCTGTGATCGGTGATGAGTTTCAGTAGCCATTTTGTTTGACGAGCCTTAATTTGGGTTTCCGGTTGATTATTCCTAACCCTCCTTTTCCTTTCGCCCTGACGACATGACGCCAGGCTACCTTTGTGATGTAGTTTTGTTTTGCTGAGTCTCCTGTCCACAGGTAGCCATCCGCCCTCTGTCTGTTTTTTGTTGTAAGCTGTGTTTCTGGAGTCCACAGAGTGGCCAGGTACCATAACATCAGAAATATGGATGTGTTTAAGATTAGTGCCCTTACACACAAGGAGGTATGCACCGCTGACCAAGTTCCATTTTGTTGAGCATTTTGGCCATAGCTACGCCGTCCTGGACACCGGACAAGATCCGGACCCTGGACCCCGGACCTCCCAATCCTTACCAGACAACCAGAAAACAGGAATATTCCTGAATTTCCAGACCAGACCGGAAGTGCTGTTCGGATGCATGTCCCGATGCCTGTCTGGATGCTGATATTTTCCGGGGGGAAAAACAAAACAAAAACAGTGGCTTAAAAGCCTTAGAAACTACAGCTGCTACATGTAGTACTTCAGTCCACACTGACTCTGCTGCAGGAGGAGAAGTGCAATGATGAGGAGGACGAAGACATGGAGGAGCCCGTCACTCTTACCAGTTAAAAATGGTCCGTCGCCGGGCCGAGATGTGCAGAAAGACGTGGAATGGAGAAGTCATAACAAGGTTTCCATGGTGAACCTGCAGAAACAACAATTGGAAAAGAAAAAGAAAAAAAAAGGGGGGAAGGAGTGCCAGGTGGAGTACACGGGGGAGGAGGGAGAACGAGTGCACGAGGAGTAAGACGAACAGTAAGAGCAGGAGGAGGATGAAGATGATGAGGACTTGGACGACATGAGGGAGGGCAAGGAGGAGGAGGAGGAAGAGGAGGAAGAGGAGGAAGAGGAGGAGAAAGGAGACATGCAGCAGGAGGCAGCGGCAGCAGAGGTGGGCGAGTAAGACGACAATGGGCAGGAGGAGCAAGATGATGAGGACAAAGACACGGAGTAGGAGTAGGAGGAGGAGGAAGAGGAGGAAGAGGAGGAAGAGGAGGA